GGGAAAAACGAACCGCTAATAACAAGGGAGTATAGTACCTACTAATAATTATACTTCAGCGAGCGGATTGCATGCTAATTGAAAAGGGAAACGTTCCATCGGTAGGCATTTCGGTGCAGGTGACGGGAACGAAATCTGTCCTTTGACGGGAACGAAATCTGTCCATTTACTGAACGATTCATATTGCGCTGTATTGGCCGACTACACATTGTATCTATTCTACAGATTTATGTATTGTATGGGCGTCATGGCGCGGACCACACCCCTGCTGCAAGTAAGAGCGTGTGCTAAGTAGTGCAGAATCCTAAGCCTTGCTCTATCTGTTACGATCCGATCACTACAGCGCACTATTGAAAAATCCGTTAAATTATGGAGCGCGCCTAGCGAAGCCAGCTAAAGGGAAGGAGGAGAGCTCGGCGTTCAGCCGGGCGATCCGACTGGTATTTTAAACAAGTGATTAATGTGAAAATTTGTTAAGCATATTCGGAAAACTGGATTTCTGCTGTACCATAGCAACTAGTCATCGGAAAAAGTAAGTGAGCCCTCCGAACACAAGAAAGCGCAAACTTCACGTTGCACTGAACGAGCGAGCAGTTTGCCTTTTATCAGTGAGTGCCGCTTGAGTGCGCGAATTCCCACTGCCCCGATCCACATCGACCAAATATGACACTGCCCCAATGCGACTATCCCACGATCTGTACGCGTCCTGCGCGGAGGATCCCCAGCTACATAGGGGTCGTAGTTGGTCAGTGGAGGGAAGGATGTCGTAGTGTCGCTCTTCAGACAACTGTCTCAGGCTGTTAATCTTTCTCCATTTTTTCAGCTTGCAGCGCACTAAATACCTACCTCGCACACCCTGTACGTGAGTAGTTTAAAGGCAGTTGGCACGATAATTTGGTACTGTTTAAAATGGTGGCAGGAGTGTTCAATAGTGGGATATGGCGAAAAAGCGAAGATAAACGGTCAAAAACCTGCGAAAAAAGCCTGTGTACTACACGGTCCAGAAAGCGATTTCGGACGAGCTCCCTGTTGGCATCGTGCCAATAACCGTTACTGTGGATAAGAGTGCATGTATGCACAAATATAGCCATATGCATCGCAGCGGTTTCATATCAATCAACTCGTCTCACATGTACCTCGTACAGGGCACATCATTGGTTGAGGATTTTAGTCGAGTCTGTACTCTGTACGACCCCCCTTTTTTGAGCGTTGGTACGACCCCACCTCCTCCGGCCCTCTGTCCCTCCTCATCGAATCGAGCCGTCGAGCGGGGGAAAAGACGCGAGACAATACCGACTTCTACCAACTCTCAGATTGTCCACTTCCCCAAGCCGCCACATTTACGCACACCGCCGCATACATCTCTTTCTGATGCTTTTTCCAAAATTTCCCGAAAACTTCCCTACTTTTTACCAAAAATTTTGTCGAGCGGGGGCGGGGGGGGGGTATACCGTACGCATGAAACAGGAAAATCACAAAAGTCAGCCACTGCTGCTACAATACCAGAACGCAGATACGACCCCCCCCCCTTTACAACGTCCGTGAAGCGAGAAAAATCAACTATTAAAATCAATTTCGCCCAAGCCCAAATACGACCCTCCATCTCCTGGCGGCCAAATACGACTCCCCCTCCCCCCGTATTGGGGATTCCCCAACAAAGATGTGCCCTGACCTCGCAAATGAAGCGATAGGAGCATCAGAGTCGGTTGGACATTTGTGGGCGGGCGCGCGCTGCCGGCGTCCCGATAGCTTGTAGCTTCATAGGGCGCTATAAGGGTACCTCCCTTGGAAAAGGCACCACGCAGCGCTTGCTCAGAGGCGCCGAATTCAGTCTTGCTAGGCGTTTCAGTCCTATATGTCTTCGAAGATTTATCTACCAACTGCCTTTGACTGCACTCCTCAATTCCCCTCGTCAGCCCAAGAACCCATCTGGAGAAGAAAACCGATTTTATGTTTTTGTTACTTGTATACTAATACTTTACTGCATGTTACCCTATAGGTTCAAAAACAAGGGAAAAACATGGGCGGTTTTCATAATTAGCGCTGGAGTTTGTAGCTTTCTTGATTGTTGAGCACTCCAAACCCCCTAAGTAAAGAGTACTTGAGATATTAATATTCCCTATACTCCCTCAACATCAAAACAATGCAAGTGCTAGACTTTCATGCCACGAAATCACATTGCTCCCTATGTCAAATTATCAGAAACAAGAGTTAACTAAAATTCTGAAGAGTATGCAATTAACAGACTAAAATAATAAGTGAATGAAACGGTGTTCCATATTTAAACAACAACAAACCAGAGAAAGTGATACCCAATACGAACAAAGTTAGTGATCAAACTCTTGGAGTGCTAACGAGATCTACAGAGCGTAAAACAACAGATTCGAGATTTGACGAGTATAAAGTAGATATGTACAAATTCTACATACCCACAGAAAAGTAATGGCTATGACCAGTCTCACAACTTACAACAAGAAAAGCACTCAGAAAGGTAAACAGGGGTCAGATGGCATGGCAGCAGTCCCGCTGGACGCAAGCATAAGAAACAAATAGTTTGGCCGTATTATAAATATCTAAAATATGAGCTCCAAAGCATTCTCTACTGCTTATGGCCGTATTCACAGAATTAAAGCCGTCTTTGATATCGCATAAAGGACACCGGTCAAATTTTGGTTATCTTCCAAGAAAAAAAACATGCCACTAGAAAAAATCATCGCAATGGACGCATTGCACAAAGCGTATACCCATAGTACAACTAAAAGAAGAGAAATGCATGAAACAAATTGCCTCAACAGAACTCTGCGGTCTGAGCAACCAACAACCTGTGCTCCTTGAGTTGCCTGGCTTCTAATAAAATCATTTTGTCTGAACTTCAGATTCTCCAGTAAAACTCTTCACCGCGGGATGCCGGACATCATCCGTTAGTTGGTAGGGTGAGTAGCAGACTCGATCTCATAGATCATGACAGAATCGAAGCAGAAACAACTCAGTTGTCATAATAACGAGATGTCACACCACCGATTGCAGTATCGCATCTTTGCCGCTAGTCTAACTCGATTACATCGGGAACGGGATTCAGCGGAGGAGGCAGCCGCAAAGGTCGCGGTGGATCGGGTGGTATGGTTATAAGAGGAGGCATCCGATGTTGAACTGAAACAAGCCCAAACTTTCGGACCAGTTGGAAGAAAATTGATGAATCATTGTGGCGAAACATGCAGACCTGTATCGAACACGGAGTTTTGAGCATTCAAAAGTAAGCCATTACTGAGTCGCAAAAACAACCCGTCAGCACTTCGGACTAACATCGCATCTGTGTTAGCGGGGATTTCACGTGTTTCCGATGGGTGAGACACGACTGGTAGACTCAGGACTAAAATTATAACAATGAGAAGCAACAATACTTGGTTAAAAAAGATAAAGTCAGCGAGAATGAGCTCACCTCGATCAGTCCTAATTAGCTGTATACTGCCTCTGCTATTCGATGAAGGTTCGAAAGCCATAGCAGCACCGGGAAACGGTGGAACACGGCGAGGACCCTCCATAGGATTAAACATGCGACTTGGTCCAACTGAAACATAAGAAATTTCGTTCATCGGAGAATCACACCGACAGTCCTCATAAAATGGTCGAATTTAGCAACCTTCTACAATCGCTCACTTGATACAGTATCCCACCCTCCACTTCAGACTGAATGCACTTCACATGACCCGCGTTTTGCACGTCATTCGAAGTCGAATAGCCACTAATATTTGAATGCGCGAGCGCTTATTTTTCTTACGATTACCGTAGTTACAGCTCTTCGTATGAGCCAGAGCACTTCCACCAGACACCAGTTCAAACCAATTTAACCCAGAGTGTGCAAAGAAAAGAGATACAGCTCACAAAGAACGCTCAAAAGTTATCACGATCATCGAAAAGTAGTTTTATCTCAAACTATGACCAACGACTCCCTCGATATACAGGGGGAGAAGTCAAAGCGGACAATTTGCTTATGGCGTGAGCCTTTGAAGTTTGCGCCGCACTGGATGACCAGGTACAGGGAAGATAACGTAAACTAGCACTGAGATTTCCCTCTTTGAGCAGAAAAAAGCCTTCTAGTGCTGGCTTTACTGCCATGAAACGGTGAATCCGTTTAGCCCAGTCTCAGGATACTGTTAACCGCGAAGCCTCCCTCCTACTTCTTTTCTCTCGTCTTTCAATCTTTTCCTTTCTTCCCTCTCTGTTCCCTTTCCCTTTTCCTTTTCCCTTCTACTGCTGGGCTAGCAGATGCGATAGGGAAATGCCTCTAGGCTCTCGCAGCGAGAGCATGTCCAGTTGGCAACAGCCATATAACTATGACAGCCCCGACGAGTTAGAGTTCAAGCGCATCCGAAGCGGACAGAAAGTATGGGCAGAAGTATGGACAGGAAAAGGGAAGTATGGGAGAAACCGAACTTCAGGGTGAAAGGGGAATGGAGCAGGTGTGAGAAAAAGACCAGGATATAACGTTGGTAGAAAAGTAGCAGTTGAAGACCATCAACGCATTAACATTTGTGCGTTTTGTAGTCATGCTGGCATAATCTTCTGACATTCTCTCACAAATTCGACTTCAGGAACTACTCATCGTATTAAACAAAAGTGCAATCCCCTTTGCATCGCAAAGGCTACTTGTCTTGTCTGTAGTGTTTTTTGCTGATTTATACGGCACACTATAATAAGATGGATTAATATGAGCAATCGTATGAATACTGCAACGAACTACATGGTCGATTTCGATAAGGTACCAATTAGGAAAACTTACACATTCCTCTTTCGTTGCCGTTACTCATCTCACCGCCAGGCTGTGGGTAGCCCATAGGATAACCACCATTTCTAAATAGTAAACGTACCGCTATGAAAGCAGGTAGAGCAAAACGGCTTTCTTGAAAAACAAACCCTGCCAAAGACATCGGGACACGATCGAGTTGGTGTGGTATAGGAGTAGAACGCAAAGGAGGAGGATCCATCATCGGACTGCAAAGAATCTCTGACGAATCCAGTAATTCATCAGGAATGAATGAGACATACTTGAAGCGAGGAGTGCCTATCCAGTGAGGGAATCCTCTTGATGCTCTTGAATAACCGCCAAAATGTTCACCAGAATCGAAGGTCGGTGCGTCGTTAAGCGGAAGCGTGATCGACTAAAACACCAATATTACAGAAATGGGAAAATAAGGACTTTTCGAAACTTTAGCAGCATCTCATCATAGAGAACCAGTGCTCTACTACTCACATCTTTATACTGCTCTCTAGTGAACCATAGCTCCGCTTCTTTCTTTTCTTCTTCACTCAAACCTTCTTCCCTCTCAAGCATCAACGACTCGTGAAGGAACGGTTCCTGAAAACTGATCACTACCCTGTGAACAAATCAATTCTTGTGTAGTTTCATTTCATCGATTATTGCAGAAATTATGAATGGTTGGTGGCGGAGTTAGATCAGAAGAATGCTCAACCTCTGCCAGCATTTCGCTTCTGTTCTTCACGACGGATTCCAGAACTTCGTCGCCAAAGTCCCACTGAGTTGTGTCCCACCTTTCGTGAATCACATCCAACGATTCCTGAATAACAACTCTTCGTAGCAGGAACCTCATTAACTGCTGCAAGGCATAAAACGTGCAATGAAGAGAACACATCCGTAGACAGGCCTCTTTTCTAGAATACTATCACCAACCAGATCACAACTAAATCCCGGTGTCAAATACACGATGTGTATGGCATGTAATCTCCCACAAAACCTGTATGGGGGCTCGACGAGCTCCAGACAGGTTTTGTGGGAGATAGGAGCTCGCATTGGCCAGCCGGAGCGAGAAGTGATCCCGAGGAGCTAATACCCCAGACACGGAGCCTACACAACTATTACAAACAATATAATTTCCACGTATCCCAATGCTTGAAGGCACTCTCGCGTTTTAAAGTGGCAAGTTGTGCGGTTCAAATACTGAAAACAAGGTGGTAATTAACCTATAGCGAATAGGCAAGAGAAAACCCGCCGGAAATGCCCAGTGTAAAATCCCATGTTGAACCGCGCTCGTACGTGCATAAGGGGAGTGGTCGCACGAGATCCCACTTGTTGGTGTCAGCTCCTCCTCCTTATCACTCATTCTCACCACTAGAAATGAAGAGAGCTAGTAATGGAACAAGTGCACCACCAAGGTTTTTAGAAATGAAGTTGGGCGTTGCGACGGCCCGTGGGCGAAACGGTGGCCTCGTTGTAAGGCGGGCCGCACCTCCCTAACTATTTTTGGGCTACGAAAATAGTACATCCTTCATGATTGCAGGCAGAACCACAATGTCCAGTGAAGGCGTCCGAACATCGAATAAAACACGGATCATGCCTTCAAACGTACGAGGTTGAACACCTGTGATCGGACGAAGACAAGATAGTAAGAGATCACAGTTATGAACAGACCCTTGGCGACATACGCCAGCTTAAATACCCACCACAATTCGTATCATCAACAAGCGACCAATTAAAGTAAAAATATGAAATTGCTTTAGAAAGCAGATCAATTATCATTTACATTACAAGAACATAGCTGAGGGGAACATGAACGGCTGCAAGACTACGAAAGAGAATTTGTTCAGCGGTGAACGCAAAACTTCAGCAAGAAGATGGGGAACGTGTGATAGCGCGCAGTATACCACCAATAGTTTTTGAAAAAGGGAGTAACACCCGACGAAAACGAGTTAGACATTGCGGCAGAAACCATCATAAGGAGGAGCAGACGTGATAATTGTTACGGAATGCTACGGAGATCAGTTTTTTTTACCCTATCGCCAACTAGCACAATAACGTAAGTGGCACAGATTTAAAAATGAGAAAATTTCAGGAATTAAGAATCCCTATCAGAAATATCTGAAATTCTATTCAATCGCGATGGATTGCCATATGGGACTCGGCGCTCGCCTCCTCATGACATGACTGTACTAGCCCGCGCCGCCGTCCAAATAGTGAACACCGGAAGACCTAACAAGCTCACCTTCATACATCAGAAGGGTTTCTAGCTCTTTTTGAAAGTGATATATCGCGTCCCACTGGGCTTCGTCAACGGACGCGTTCATGAAAAATAACCATAGGGAATATTCCACAAAAATACATAGGTGTAAATGATAAAAGTACTAACGTTGCAGCCCATGCTTGCTAATTTGCCTATTGAATATTGCCTTCTCCATGCAATTATTAAGTATAAGACGGTAAATATAAGTGCGACGTTGCTGGCCATATCTATAAGAGATCAGTTCAAAAGGGATTACCAAACCACTCCAGTCTCGTTCGCTGCGGATGGCAAGGGGCGTGTCAGGCGGGATGGGTTGGCTCGGTGCCAAACCTTTTTCCACCAATTCTTGAAGAGAGCGGGCGGCGGGGCTGATCATATCGTTCGTATCAGTCGTTTTCCACCAAATGTTGTCGCTTGTCCGCTTCAACAAGAGAGTTTGGTGTGTGTCAAACCCATCCCACTTAACACGCACCTTTCCATTTGCAGCGAACAAGATCGTACCATCACACACATCAAATAGGACGTCCCCTGGGGAAAGAAGGCAAAAATGAAACAAAATATAGCAATGAGAAAGTAGGGTAAAAAGTAGAAAAAGGAACCTGTACACTCTACAAACTGCCTGCGCATCATGACACGGATTCCAGCAAGCATCAAAAATAATACATCTATTTGCGGATACCTAAACACTTGAACTATACCTCTTTTCAGGTGCTTCACGCCAGGGCCTACTACACTAGGTTCGGCGAAAACAACTTGGTTCTGGGAGGAAATGAAAAAAAAATGCTCAAAGAGAGGGAACAAAGGAAAACAACTCCGACTGACCAGATTGATACCAAGTGAACCTGCTCTTGTTGATATCAAAAATAAGTACACACTGTGGTCTGAATTGAAGCGATGAATCAACTTCTCTCTTTCTGATCCCGGAGTACTACCATCTAGTCCTGAAAAAGACGATACTTCTGCAGTTGACACGCTCAAATGATGCCATGGTATTGGAATTTTGACAGTTCTTCTTTACGAGAAATGATTTTTAGAACAAAAATATGCTCAATTCTTAGAGAGCTCCTTGACAAAAAGAACCCAAAGGTATCACAAGAATGCTGAGTTATAGGCAAAAGTCGAAACCCCAGGCAGGAATCGAACCCGCACCTCACGCTTTCCGAAACGCGAACTGCAGCGTAAAACAGCAGCTGTCATAACAAAGCGACTTCAAAAACAGCTCTAAAGGCCCGTATTGAATATCTTTAATTCCTATGTTCATTTCTTGCAATTAGCCCAAATGAAACGACCAGTCCCGATCCTTTGTAAATGCTTATTTCGTGTGACACTCAACAGTGATTGGTTCGTGAACGATGGTCAGTTGATGGTGATCAGGGAGTTAGTTGAAACCGATATCCAAATCAATCGATCAGACTATTGTTCAGACAAAGGATAGAAGTACGCCACCGTGAAAACAATTATCGCACTTCCCTTATTCGACCGCCTTTCACACCTTTCGTGATATTTTCAGGGTAATTGTCCAAGCGTTCTAGGTGAAAGAAAGTACTGCATTCGAATGCCAGCAATTTCTGTTTGAGCCGAATCAGCCAATTTTTGAGAAAATAGAAACTTAAGTTAGTGGTGACATCATTAAGAGCGAAACTTTCTGAAACAACTTAAAGCGACGCATGATCGATACTACCTTTTCTTTCGCCCACTAAAACATCGAACGTTCTGAAGACCACGTTCAAAATACACTCAAAAGGCTGACTGATACCTTTGCATCATTTTTGGCCACGAAACGCTCCATAAACGTGCCCTACTGCAAAATGAAGTATCCTCCAATTGATCAGACAGGGTTCTTTCTTACACCTTTCAGGGCCAGTCGGTCAAACTGTTGAAGGAGATCAAAATGGAAGATGCTTCATGGCAGAAAGCAAAATACTCACTGAAGTAATTTTATAATCCTCTTCCTCCATGGATGGTCTGGCCAGTAGGTGTTTTCTTAAGTGGACGCCTGACTAAGGTAAATTTCGATAAGATGCAAGCGCAGTCAAATCTGCTGAAAAATTATGCAAGTTTTTATAATCAAATGATCCCTTTCATTCTCTTCACTCAAAACTGTGAAAATCTTCTGAATGAACAAAAGCCTGTTCATAAAAAAACCGGAAATTCATTAGAACTACCTGAAAATGACATCTTCCTTCCCAATCATTACACATAGCATCTAACTATATAATCATTACGCCAAACCATTTGTGCCTATGCTCGATGTTCCAGTTTATAAGATCATAGCTATCTCAGCCTGAACAATTTAACTCCGTAACAATGAGCGCCTTTTACAATAATCGCACTTTCTTGAAATGAGATGATGAGAGTACAAACTACCTCAATCATACTGTAACCTACTTGCGTTTCTGTGATGTCGAACTCCATCGTGCCATCACTCCCTGAAATTAAGTTTGCCGGTTTGAGGAGATTCTTCGTTTTGCTCTCAGAAGGATTGCAATAGAGCCCTCGTCCCTCTCGTCTGGAATCCTGATGATGAAATTTCAATATAAGCACATCCTTCAATGATATAGCTGATACAGTCATTTTCTTGCAAGCGAACGGACAAGGTGTGTAGGAGCAAAGATCGAGAGCAACATGGCGCCTTTCAACCACCGATATCCTGCTCGATCCCCTGCAAAAACTGCTGGAAATCGAGAAGTGCACCTGTCTCTCTCCAGTTCGCATCCCTCTCAATGCCTTCTCCGTTTGCGAGTGATAAATTGTTTGGCTAGTTCCATACGATGTATAAAAACCTAACGAGACTAACATAACAAGGCGCTTAAGTTTCAAGAGATGCTTGGCGGGTCCATTGGCTAGAATTATGCCACTTCCAGCGATCCCGTCGATGATTTTGAGAAGGCTCGGATCGCTTAGTCTAAGCGCATTGTTCGAGAAAAGGGTTGAGCTAGCAGAGGACCTAAAAGCAGATGTATAATAAGCACGATATATGTAAGAACCAGCAGCAATTGTTACAAGCAGAAACAAGAGAGAACACGCAAATAAGCGGCTTCTAAACACGTCTTATCGAACATTGTCCTAGGTCGCAACAGTGAAAGATAGTACACTAGTTCATATCTGCGATGATCGAGGCTTTCGAAGTCGAGAGAAACTGGCCAGAAATTGCTTCGTGTAAGGCTTTAGAAAGCCCTTTCGAACTGGGAATTGGGGATACCTTTTCGTTGCGAAACGAAAGGGCATCCACAACTTCTGATGGAACCCATTTCTGGTCCAACGACCACTGTAAAAAAAGAGCATTCTGGTTCAAGGGAGCATGGCACCACTATCGGCATGTGTTTCACTCATGATACCATCAAATTAACAATTTTGCAAGCAGTGCGCGCCGCACGTTGGGGATTCTATCGAGGGGCCATGTTTGGTCGCTGGAGGAAGGAGGGTTGTATTCGCAGTGAAAATGATTCTGGTTTCTGAATTTTCTCTGTTTTTCCCACTTCAAGCAAGCGCTATATATCCCTACCCTCCCCGCCCAGCAACTTTTTGGAAAAAAAAACCCGAAGAAAGCTTGTAGGGAGGTGGGGAAGTTCGGGGATGGAAAAGGTGGGGGGAAGGTCGTACTAGAGGAGAATGAGGGTGCCGTATTTTGCAGTAACTTTTCCCAACAGCAGGAGTACCTTGCTTGCAAGACCTACATACTTAGCAAACTATAGCTATCTGCTAGAGACACATAAACTTTCAAAAATGTTCACACCTGGCTGGCTAGAGTTGGAACAGTATGACGAGTTCCACGTATTATTAGGCGTAGAGTCCATGCATATATTGCTGGGCCCCGGAATAGGAGCACACGTTGAGATCGGATGCCCTGGTGTCATCTCTTGACTATAGCATGCTGAAGGAGGATAGCTTGTTCCTTCATGGGATCGCGATGGCCAAGTTGGTGCACTCGTCATGCTATTAACTTGCTGCCGTTCAGAACACGACGGACCCCTATCGCTAGCTTGATCGGTTCCCTGAAATACTTACAATAAAAAAAATTCAAAATATGACAAAACTTCGTACCACTATACTAAATATAAAATCATTCCAAACTGTGCCCACAAAATAGAGAGTAGCCGCTACCTCATTACCCATGTTGGATATAATGAAATAGCAAAAGCGAGACCCACATCTTTCTGCTGTGCTAACTTCCTCCTCTCTTCTCGTTTCCTTTCAAGCGTTTTAGCAAGAATATCAGGATGATTCCATATCTTAAAACATTTCTATTATTACCCTTTACGTTCACAGCCTGTCTCCACCAAAGGGATAATAAATAAGAAACATCATTTGGTGCGAATTACCTTTGAACAAGCAGCAAAAGCCTTCAGAGGGTTGAAAACAGAAGTGTTTCCTGAGCTAATTTCAGAATTCGCATACATGACGAAATTTCTGGAAGTTTCTTTTTTTGTCTAATCTATAGGAGTCGAAATAGCATATTCAGATGTACTGAACAGATCAACCGCCTAATACAACAAGAACGACGACTACTTCGAAGAAAGAAAATGAGCGGAAATCTCTGCCCGCCGCTCGATGTTTTCCCTTTTACTACTAATACTACCCTGCTTTACTCCTCAGTGAAGCTGGAGCATCTAAAGCGAAGACTTCCCTCCGGTTGTTCTCTTGATTGCAGGAACATTAGGCGCTTAATTTGCTCGCTTCACCTGAGTAGGTATGAGGGAGCAGTACTTAGTTACCTGTACAAGGCGTGCTGCAAAGGGCTCTTTCGGAGAAGAAGAACAAACTCTTTGCTTTCTGGGAGAATAGCCTTGAGCAAATGGTGAGTTCTCCTATAACAAAACTTTTGATACATTAGAAGGACATCTGCAATCACAGAAGCTCACACTAGTAAGACCAGACTGTCACAAACCTCTGAATAAAGCCCTTCAGCATACTGTTAAGAACATGGATTCGTTGTCGAGCGATTTTGACGTCCCCTGAAGCAAAAAAAAATTAAAACATAGAATGCAATCGAAAAATCGGTGATTAGTTCGAGACTAAAACGCTTTTAGCGCTTCAGGCACCACGGGAGACATTGAACTGCTTCAATAGTAATCGAGCCCAGATGATATTGCGAGGAATTCGGAACATGCCTTCGCAGAAGAAGTTACAAGTGAAAAGAATAAAAAAATATTAAAGTTTTCTTCTTCGACTCCTAGAATGCGGCACGGATTCTAGTTTCATTCAGAACTGTCGCGACTTAAAGCCAGTTCTCGCGATAAAGTGTCATGAATAGTTGCTGTTCAATTATGAAACAGTAGCTGATAAGTAATTCCCCAAAGAAAAAAAAACAAGAAGAGCCTCAAGAACACCATAAACAAAATCGCTCCCTGACAGTCACACCGCCCTGCGGTCTCTGTGCAACCCCTAGCTCACAAATCGCTTTATAGCATATCCCAGTAGTGGATTCTGAAAAACTCGGCGTACGAATTTGAGTGTTACGGTTACGGTAGTGTGCATCTTTCATCTGCATCTTAGTTGGCGGACCTACTAAGCTGGTATCCGGAGTCCCTGTTTGATGCGTGGATGG